TTAAATTCAAGCTGATCGAAAATTTATTTTTCGTATCGAGAAAAGCAAATAGGCATATCAAGAGATTTACGGTGATAAAATCAACGCTTACCCCTACGCAGATTTTTTGAAGTGAAGTGAAGACTCTGAAGACTTTTTAATTTTATTTGAGTCTAGGAATCTTTGTAAAGATGACAATAATTTTTTCATAAACAAATTAATTTTGAGGGATAAAAATTATTATTTTCTGAGTTAGTTGAAAAAAAATTTTCTGTCTAAAAATATTTTATTGAGTCAGTTTACAAATAGTGTGTCAAAATTTCTCAAAAAACCATTTCTTTGCGATACACATATTTTTTTTGGTAAAAAAAATATATACTTTAAATATTTTTTGTGTACATTGTTTGACATACAAAATAATTTTTGGACTCACTTTTTCTCCCCTATTCAAATTCATTGAATAAGGGATATTATCTTTGAGGAGCGTTCCTGTTATTCTCATTGTATCAAACAACGAATAAGAAGCCAATGTCTTTCAATCGCAACTGGCCTTGGCCCCTTGTGTTTGCGCATTATTTTCATTCTAATCGATTTTCTCCTCTTATTTAATCGATTAATAGTCTTTTTCGTTGGATTCGCTGGGCTGGACAATAATCGATTTTTTCTCTTCAATTAATCTATTAGTTCAGAAAGAGCCGACTAATCGATTTTTGGCCATCACTTTAATCGATTAATCTTGCTCTTCTTTTCAGGCTTTTTCGCCTCTGTGTACCGTAATCGATTTAACCTCTTACGTTAATCGATTAATTTTATCTGGTGCATATTCTCAGCTTGCTCCAATGGATTTATTTTACTCAGCCTATTTAATCCCCCATTCTCCTTCATTTCTCCACACAACTCTTGCACTCCAATATATTCTTTGAGCTATATTCATCCCTAGCTTCATCTTCCTCATCAAAATACTATTTTTGAGTTAGAAATATTTTTTCTTTGAGTGCTAAATAAGTTGTCATCCATAGAGCTTTAATCTTTCAAACATTACTTGCTCAATTGTGTGAGCTTTCATTCTTGTGTTGTAAACTCAATATTGTTTGAGTGTTGTTCTTAAGACTTGTGTGACTCAAGTCTTGGTGTTGTAAGAAAGTGAGGCTTGTGTGATTCAAGTTCTCAAGTTGTACCGGTTTTTCAAGCACCCGTTGAAGCTTGAAGATTAGTAGGACTTTCGAGAGAGTCTCTCGGAGGACTGGACTAGTCACGAGGTGGTGAACCAGTATAAATCTCGGTGTTCTTCTTTCCCTTACTCCTATTTATTTTTCCAGCAATTTTTATTTCACACACACGCGAAAAACGCACATTCTTAAAAACAACTCTATTCACCCCCTCCCCCTAGAGTTGCACTTTTGCCTAACATGATTTGTCAGTCTTGGATTTGAGAAAGCCCAAAACCAATAAAATATGTTGAAACTGTTGATAGCACAAGCAGAGGGCTAATTAAGGTCGTTTAGAACTTTATTGGGACTGTAGAAGTGATAGGGTCATTTAGGATTCTGAAACTCGAATGGCTAAGTTGCATATACCATCTCCTTTAAGGTGGCATGAAGAAGAATACTTTTTACATCGTGCTCATGAATGACCCAATCACAAGAAAGGGTGAGATTGAGAAGAACCTAGATGGTGACAAGATTGACCATGAGGCTAAATCACACATCATAGTCCACTTCATAGTGCTGATTGAATCCTTAGACCATCCACTTTGCTTTGAATCGGAAGAGTTCACCTATAGAGCCAAGTTTATGACAAAATTTAAAAATAAAACTTACATATATCAATATTGAATCAAAGTTTAACAAAATGAGACGTGGCTTAACTATTTTAATATTCCATATAACAAATGATAAACGTAAATAACGAAAGAAAGAATATGCTCCTTTCGTCTCTAAAAAGAGTTTCCATTTATTTGTCACAAGATCAAATTTTGACATTGTTTTTTGTCAATATTCATTATTAATTTGATAAAATAATATAATCTTGTCCATTCTTTCTTTATGGAATTTTTTATTTAGTTTTTAAATAAACATATACTCTGTAAATTTTATTTTTAAATTTTAAAACAATTTTCAAATAAATTAAGTTTAAAATAAATCTACTTAAACTTAATAAATAGCAATAGGAATTTTATTTTGGAATGAAGAAATAAAAGTACTCCGTTTGTCCCGCTATTTTTGTCCATTTTGGTTTATGATGTTCGACTGAAACTTTTTTATAGAATTTATTTAAGTATTGGGGAAGAAATAAAAAATAAAAATTACATACTCCGTATTTAAAAAATATATCTGAAATTTTCAAAACAATAGATGATATAAATATATTTTTTAACAAATGATAGATAAAAATTTTCTTCTTTCTTTTTTCATCTGTCCCAAAAAGCATTTCTCATTTCTATGAAACTCACTTTTACCCCTACTAATTCTCATCACATCACATCTATTGACTATTAATCTAACTATTAAATCCTACTTTTACTCATTACATCAAGGAACATTTTTAGAAACTCAATATCAAAATACACTCTTCTTACATTCTTAAAAATCAAAATCTCTGATATTTTTAGGGACAAAGAGAGTATAAAGAAAGGATATTAATTACAATGGCTTCGTTCTGGTCAACTTATTTTTCTACTCTGATCAGATTTTTATAGTTCTGATCTGATCTGATTTGGATCTGATCACATCAAGTCTGATATGATTGGATCTGATCCGATCTGATCTGATTAATTATTATTTGATTTAAAATTCAAACCAATAATTTGATTTGACTTTATAATAACTTTTGAAATAAAATTAGTTAATTCATATATTAGAATAATCATTCATATTATAATGTAATAATATTTTTTATTTTATAATTATTTTTTTATGAAATAAGTATATTGATTTAATAGTTTAATAATTAGTTCATACTCCTTCCGTCCCCCTGTATTTGTCCACTTTCATTTTTGCACACCATCCAATGCACTTCTTTAATCCATTTTATCTTGTAATTTGTATATTAAAAAATTATAAAAATTATATATTAATAATCTATATGTTAAGACAAATCAAACAAGATCACACATGACTATATTTAGGCTTAGACATTGAGAGAATTTGATGAGTCAAAGTGCTAAGATGAACAGTTCCAAAAGTTAAATTTGGACAAATACAGGGGGACTGAGGGAGTATATACATTAAAATAAATATTTACTTCATATATACATTAAAAAGCAATTAAATTTAGATAATCAATATAGAGAAGAGATAGTATTTTTATTAAAATATCTCATCCTTATAAAATATCAGCGTGTGCTTTGTACTACGAAACCTTTTTTTATGTTTAATATAACACCATAGATATAGTAATGATTTCAGTTACACTAAAATATACACATTGATATATATAGAAAATAAAATATTGTTTATTTTAAATTCTTTAATAATGACACACACACAGATATATATATATATATATATATATATATATATATATATATATATATACACATACATATATATATATATATATATAGGGATTGACTCTAGTCAGATGACACCTTATGGTAAGATGACATGTTACGGTAAGATGACACAAAGCTCACCAGTGATCACTGCAAAGCTCACCAAGGACATCTGCGAAACTCACCAAACTGTATGGAAAAGTTCACCAAGATTTTTCCACACTTTGAATTTTTAAAGTTTTAAAGTTTAAATCTTTACAAACCTTAACCAAAAAGCTCACCATTTTTTAATGCAAAGCTCATCGAAACGCCCAACAAAGCTTCCCAAATTTTGAGGTTGAAAAATTGAAAAAAAATCAAAGGGTGACTTCCACCACCATTGACCGGTGATCGGCGGCGGCGAGCAGCGGTCAAATTCAGTGGTCGACATGGGTCAAAGTCAGCCCCTCTTAGATTTTTTCAAAAAAAAATCTAAGTGTGAAAAAAAATTGGTGAGCTTTGCAGTTGGTCTAGGTGAGCTTTACAGTTGGCAGTGGTGAGCTTTGCGTCATCTCACCATAGCATGTCATCTTACCATAAAGTGTCATCTGATTAGAGTCAGTCCCATATATATATATATATATATATATATATATATATATATATATATATATATATATATATATATATATATATATATATATATATATATATATATACACACGGACACAAAGTGTTGGTGCATTAATAGAAATTAGTTTTACACCATCACAAAATGTTGGTGCAAACCTGCGGGGTACAAAAACTTGGGGTACAAATAGCTTTATCCTAAATAGAAGCATTATTCAAAGAAGGTTTAAAAAGGGTACAAAGTATAAATTACACCTATAGGTGCCGACCCTTAGGCCCTCCAAAACAAATAGAGATAAAGGGCCTGTTTCGGAATAGCGTTAGATATTAGCGTTAGCGTTTTGGATAAAATTTTAACGGTGCAGATCGCTTTGAAAACACTAACGCTAAATGCTGCCCGTAGATAGCTTTTTCAAAACGCTAACGCTAATCGCTAACGCTGTTCCCAAACAGGCACAAAAAGAAAGCAGGCTCACATAGTAAATTAAACAGGACGGCTGGGATGACCACGGCGGCGGGGACAGACCTCCTTCCCTCTTGGGCTAGAGGGACCGGATCTACTTACACCCTGGGTTAGGGTTTTCAGATTTGGATTTCACCGTCCTTCACTCTCGTCGCCTCCGTCAATTGTCCCTTCCTAGTGACCAGAGGACGCATAGCCTACGACTAGTCAATTGTCCCTTCCTAGCAACCGGATGCATAATTGACAACTTGATAGCCATGAGTATAATGTTGGTTGTTTTGTCAATGCAAACAAATGACCCATGGGACGACGATATATAAGTGGGGATGTAACATGCATTGGGAGCTAGCTAGGTAGTCAAAGTGCTGCAGCATGATACATGTAATGAAACCCGGTCTCATAAAAAAAGTGAAATTTGCACTAAATAGGACTAAAACATGAGTCATTTCCTAATGTAGGACTTAAACTTTTTTATTCCCTAAATAGGACTAAATAATGACTAGTGAGAAGAATAATGTCCAAGTGATGCTGGACATTTAGTTGAATAATGACTAACTCATAATGACCAAAGGTCCTACATTGGGAAATAAAAACATATAGTCCTATATTGGGAAAGTCATTATGTTTTAGTCATATTTAGGTAAATTTATCCTTATAAAATTCCTTGGCAATCTCCGCGCGTAGATTATTGGCATGGAAAGGAGGGCCTTGACATTCCATAATATGAGAAGCATCCAAAGATTGAATCCGACCATCTTCGCCAAATGAAACAACCACCTCGTCTGGCCTACATTGACGATGGAAGAAGTATTCATCGCGAATTTTGGCCGACTTGAATGGGTCTGCAGGGCACACCAACCACCCCATTTCAAGGAACCAATGTGTATCACCATCAATACCATCCATGCTCACCGTAACCACCACCACACTTGATGAATGCCCCTTTCCCTTAATTTCATTCTTATACCATGCCGCCAGTTTATCACCAACCTCATACCCCCACCATTTTTTATTTTATTTTTTTCAAAGACCTTCCCCCCTTTGTACATATAAAGAACAACAAAAGGCATCTTCTCAAGAACTTGTGCCAAAGGAACCTCCTCATCCATATTACTGATCAGCCTTTTAATTACATGTTGTTCCCAACAGGAAAGTAGTAATGACTTCAATCTCAGTCCCATTTTCCTTTCGAACTCCTCGATCAAATTCCTCCTGTTGAAGGGATAAGCGTCCACGCCGCCAAAGTCAGTCATGACTGGAAATCCGTATACATCCACATACTTTCTAACATGATCCACCATGAAAAGGCCATCCTCCTGACTGTCACATCGCATCCGACATAGCCTATGGCTCACAGTGTTGTTGAAAGGCAAAAACCACCGGCCTAGCAGCTTAACACTCTCAAGAGCTTCAATCATAAACTTCTCCATCAACTTTGGGTGCTCCATCCCAACAAAGGGAACACCCACCACCACAATCTCAAGCTCACACTCTTTCCCCCGTTTACAACATTCCTTGTAAACCTCCTCAAGCTCATATAAACTGCTACCATCAAAGCACACATAAATCCCCACAAACTTTCTTTTAAGTTTTGAAATAGTAATACCACGACGACCATCCTCCTCCTCCTCCAACCGATCACCGCCAACGTGATAATATCCAATGTTGTAGAGAACATCAGTGTCTCTAAGGCCCAAAAGCTCATTGAGGGAGTAGTGATCATGCCAACCACGTTCATGGCATAAATAAGCATCCACTCTATCCGGAGTAAAGGGAAAAGCACCACCCCCAGCTCCTCCAACCCGAGTAAACATCTCGGGCTGGCCATGGTAAAGAACCCTCTGAGATGGATCAAGAATCAAAGCTTTAGGCTGACCATCAAAACCAAGTACCGAGCAAATGTACTCACGGCGAAGATATTCACCGAAAGGGACAGCAAGGCAGGAAAAGCCCGAAAAGAAGTGTTCATAGGCAGAGAAAGAATGAGTGAAACCATTCCTCATCATTGGCACCACCACCACCGCAAAATCGCCTCTTCTAGCGAGCTCGTGAGAAGCTAAAGATGTTTGATAAATCATGCGCGCATCGGCTGAAGACCATATCGAAGGAACAAACACGCAACAAATAATAACGTATTTACCCATCAGGTTTAAAGGGGTGCTTACCGCATAACTTCTGGATCTGTTGTTGGGCTGAATGCTAGGATTAGGAATGCTTTGAGTACTGGTACTGTAGAAACACAAGAGTTTAAAACCTAGCAAGTCTAAAACATTCAATTGGTGGCCCACCCAGACAATAGGCGCATGTTTGAAGGCATGGGAATAAATGGGGTATTCGGTATCAAGATATTGTTTGCCAATCTCATTTTCCTCGTCTGTAATAGGTGCGTAAGGTTTGTGGATGTATGATCTCATGAACTGGAAGCAAGTGTTGAAGGAGTTTTTTAGACATTGTTGTCGAGGCCTCGATACATTTGGAAAGGTTGTCTCCTCATCTGAGTATCTGACAGCTTCACCGTTCGATCTGATGAAGCTATCTTTAACCTCAATACATTTGGAAAGGTTGTCTTCTCCTCTAACAGAAGCTATCTTAAACCTCGATCGGTCGTGACGATCCGAACGTTGAAAATTCAACTCTCCAAAACCATCATTCACATCTAGAGGATCGCCCCATAGCCTCTCCGCATCCATTCTTTTTCTCTTCGATTTAGATATACTCCCTCCGTCCAAGTTGAAACTTCTCGTTTTGACTTGGCACGGATTTTAATGTAAAGTGAAAATTACTCTGACTTTCCAATTTTGCCGTCTGTTTCCCCATCCAGCCCCTGCCGACCTGCCATCTTGTTACACAAAAAATTACGGAGTATTCTTCTTCATCTTCAACATCAAACACTCCCCATATTGTCTGTCCTCAAACCCATACCCAATCATCTTTTTCTTTAACCTCAAACCCACTTTATCCCCAGCCCCCCTTCTACTCCCAACTTAACATAACAAAAAATAAATCTCATCAAACATTAGAATGTCGGAGTTAGGATTATGCCTCAAAGAAATTGAAAAAGAAATCTTTGAAAAGATGGAGATACAGAAACAGGGGCAAAGAAATAAAAAATTGATTAGAAGCTCTGCTGTTATGTAAATCTGAAAGCTCTGCTACAGATCTGAAATCTCCGCTGCATAGATTTGAAAGAATTTGCAGATCTGAGAGGTTCGTCCCTTCACCTCTGCCCTTCGCTACCACCTTGGGGGGTTATCAGGAGAAGAAAAGAAGAAAAACAAAGGGGGAGAGAGAGAGAGAGACTGACATAGGAAAAGAAGAAGAAAGAAAGAAGAAAGAAGAAGAGAGAGGAGGAATAAGGGGAGGGAGTACGAGAGTAATGAAATTATTAATTGGCGAAGAGAAAAAAGTAAGGGCAAAAGAGTAACTTTGGATGTATTTTCTTTCCATTTTAGGAAATGAGAAGAATCAAATGGGACATCCCGAAAAGGAAAGTGAGAAGAAAGATATGGGATGGAGGGAGTATATATATATATATATATATATATATATGTATATATATATATATATATATAATGTGTTTGAATAATATTATCTAACTATAAAATACTTCAAATCTCTTTTGAGATAAAAATTTAAATTTTAATATAATATTGATGTACATGTATTAATAAAATTTATATAAATCTTTATTTTGAGATGTAATAATAAGGAAAATGATGAAAAGTTTATCAAAAGTTACACCACTCTTTTTTTTTAAAGGATTAATAAAGTTTATAAAATATTTTTTAGATAAAAACTAATTATGTAAAAAATATATATTTTTAAATGGTGTAACACATAAACTCTAAAATGAATAAAAACATTGAATAAAATATATTAAGATTTTTAATATATATATATATATATACTCCATTCGTTTCAAAAATATTATTATAGTTTGGTTTTTTTGGCAAAATTATGTAACACTTTGATTACAAATTAAATATAATTTTCAATAATTAAATGTCATAAAAATTTGATGTATGAAAACAATATTTTAAATGGACACATTTTTTTCTAAATTTATATTATAACTAAATATAATATACTTTTTACACACTTTGTGATCAAAGTATAGAGTAACTTGACCAAAAATGCAAAATTGTGATAACTTTTTTGGGAGGAAGAGGTAATATATTTCAAAAGGGTTATCAAATGGAACAATAATGAGATTTGATTTAATCAATGAAAAATAAAATAAAAATGCTAAAGAAATCAATCAAGTAATGAAAATTGCATAAGTGGTATATGGCCTATATGTCATGTGTTATCTTTCAACAAAAACAAATTTATTTAATTTAATTTGTTGAAATAATATATTAAAAATTAAATAATGTTACAGATAAAACATTTTGAAATAAAATACTCTCTGTTCCACGAAACCCTTCCTCTTTCGTTTTTTTGCTTTCCACAAAACACTTCCACTTTCTATTAAAAACCCACTTTTACCTCTACTTTTTTATACTCTATCTATCACATCATACTTTTTCACTAATAACCAAACTATCACATCTTACTTTTTCCCATCACATCAGGGGCAAAATTGGAAAGTAAACCAAAATTACACTTTCCTTATTTTTGCCCAAAGTCAAAATGGGAATGGTTTTGTGGAACGGAGGGAGTATATAACTATGGCTCATATCATTTCTCTTTCCTTTACACAAACAACAACCACCAACATTGCAAATTATAAAAAATTGTGCAAAGTCAAACTCGTTAGAAAATTCTTACGACGGAAGGAGTATATGACATGCGGCATGTATCACCTTTCAACTCTAAGGCCCCGTTCCGTTCAACTTATTTTTTCTTATTTTTTCTTATTCTTATTAAAATCAGATCAGATCAGACCAGATCAGATCAGATTAGATCAGATCAGATCAGATCAGATCGAATCAGATCAGATCAGATCCAATCAGATCAGATCAGATCCAATCAGATCAGATCAGATCCAATCAGATCAGATCAGATCCAATCAGATCAGATCAGATCCAATCAGATTAGATCAGATCCAATCAGATCAGATCAGATCAAGACTTATTAAAATAAGATCTCATCAAGAATTATTATTATTATTATTATTATTATTATTATTATTATTATTATTATTATATTATTATTATTATTATATTACTATTATTATTATTATTATTATTATGATCATCATCATCATCATCATCGTCATCATCATCATCATTATTATTATTATTATTATTATTATTGTTCTTAAAAATGAAAAAGAATAAACTTTAGAAATAGGTTAAATAAAAAGCTGAGAAAGTAATCCTTAATTATTAGACGTCGGAAAAATTAGTTTTAAAATACATTGACAATGTCAATCTAATTCTACTTTTAAAATATATTTTTATTGCTACTTGTAATTTGAGTTTCTAAACTTTTGATCTTTTATAAGGATGAGATATTTTAATAAAAATACTATCTCTTCTATATATTGATTATCTAAATTTAATTACTTTTAAATGTATATCTAAATTAAATATTTATTCCAATGTATAATTCTAATTTTACAAAAAAATTATCATAAAATAAAAAATATTATTACATTACAATATGAATGATTATTCTAATATATGAATTAACTATTTTTATTTTATTAAAAAGGAATCATTAAATAAAAAATATTGATTATATTATAATATGAATTATCATTACAATTTTCAAACGTTATTATAAAGTCAAATTAAATTATTGATTTGAAATTTTAAATTAAATCATAATTAATCAGATCAGACCAGATCAGATCAGATCCAATCAGATCAGATCAGATCCAATCAGATCAGATCAGATCAGATCAGATCCAATCAGATCAGATCAGATCCAATCAGATCAGATCAGATCAGATCAGAACTTATTAGAATCAGATCAGATCAGAAAAAATAAGTTGAACGGAACGGAGCCTAACTTTGCTTTGTTTGGTTTGTTGAAAAAATATACATTGTATATATACTACTCCCTCCGTTTGGAAAAAGTCTTCCCACTTTGACTATAAGGCAAAATAAGGAAGTGTAAAATTATAGTTGACTTCCAATTTTGCCCTTGATGTGATGGGTAAAAGTAAGATGTGATGTAAAATTATTAGAGAAAAAGTATGATGTGATAGGTAGGGTATGAAAATGTAAGGGTAAAAGTGGTTTTTAATAGAAAAGGGAAGTGTTTTGTTGGAAGTAAAAAAAATGAAAGAGGAGGTGTTTTGAGAACGGAGGGAGTAAAATATACTTCTTAGTATGTAATAGGATAAAAATTTTGAAATAAATCTTGCATTTAATAAATATTTATATGTGATAAAAAAAATTATAATACTATTTTGAAAGTTGTTTGAGTTGATAAAAATTAAAATAAAATGTCAAATAGATCAATTAAGTATTGACACATCATTAGAGAATGTATATCTATCATGGGAAAATTTACTTAAATAACACTAAAACATAATGACTTTCCCTAAATAGCACCACATGTGTTTTTCTTCCCAATATAGCACTTTTAGTCAATATGCATTAGTCATTATCCAAGTAAAAATTTGTCATCACTGGACATTATAGACATTATTTAGTACTATTTAGGGAATAAAACAGTTTAAGTGTTATTTAGGAAAATGACTTAAGTTTTAGTGCTATTTAGTGCAAATATTTCATCTATCATGTGCCAAATGTAATTCTTTAATTAAACTTTCTCTTTGTTTAGTTAGCTGAATGAATATATAATCAAGATGCATGTGTGAAAAGTTTTATATATAATAGTTCTTTTGAGATGATGGATAATTTAAAAATTATAAGCAACATTGTTTTGTAATATATAAATCTTATACGGAGTATAAATTTTATAAAAATATAAAATAGTCATGCATATTTAAAAAATATGTTAAAACAATGAAAACTATTTCTAAAATAATTAGATAGTGAAAATTTTACAAAAAGTTTATAAAAGAATGGTTATTTATTGTTAGAAAGCGAAGGATTTATAAAAGAATTAATATTGGTACATTTGGCGCGCACATGTTAGTAGTATGCACGCGTGACTGCCGCGTGAATTAATATTGACCACATCAAAGACACGTGTCAAGTGAAAATTTTACATACACATGTAGGATATAGGATTTCTCCCTTTTCACATCAATAGAGTGAAAATTTTGAATATAGCGACACCCAAAAACAAATTGAATTCAACAGGCCATCTCAGTAGTGGACCGAGAGAGTATATAATTTGACTTTGAAAATGAAAATGAAGTTTATAGAAGGTGCAGTATAATCTTCTTGTCCCCTACATATATATAATAATGCTAGACCGGCATCTTAGCTCTCCAGTCTTTGTGCCGGAAAACAGATTACAATGCATATAGGAATCCAAGAATCCCCAGAGCCCAAAGGAGATTCAACCTGCGGCGGGGAACCAATCAGAACAGGTAAACTAGCCTAATCAAATAAAAGCAACTGCTGAGTTCAATTCAATTTTCTGCGCTGGTCGAAAACATATACTCATATATATACATATCAACGGTTCCATATATATCATATATCTGCTTTCCTGCAGGGACGGTATGGAGTGCGGTTGCTCATATAATCGCAGCGGTCATCGGAGCGGGCGTTCTGTCCCTGGCGTGGAGCACAGCTCAGCTCGGCTGGATTGGAGGGCCCGTTGCCCTCCTCTGCTTTGCTGCGGTCACCTACGTATCGGTCTCCCTTTTGGCCCTCTGTTACAGGTCACCTGACCCTACAACCGGAAGGCGAAACCCTTCCTACATGGACGCCGTCGGAGCTTATCTTGGTATATCTGTGTAGCTTATAACTCTGGGTTTCTTGAAAAAGAAACCCAGAGTCACCTGGGTGTGCGTGCCTGTGCAAAATATGGGGTTACCTCGATCTTTTTTTTTTGGGTGTTTAGGGAGGAAGAGGAGAATGATGTGTGGGTTGCTTCAGTATGGGTTGATGTATGGGACTTGCGTGGCCTATGTAATCACTACGTCTACCAGCATGAGGTAAACTAGTTTACTTATCTACCCTGCCCTTATTGCAATTTTATGAAATTATTTTTGAAGTCCAAAAGGATTTGAATGAGCGCAGGGCGATCAAGAGGTCAAACTGTTACCACAAGGAAGGGCACGGAGCTAAATGCGAACACGGAGACACCGCATTTATGGTGGTTTATGGGGTGATTGAGATATTGATGTCGCTGATACCTAATTTTCACGGCATGGCATGGGTGTCCATTGTTGCTGCAATCATGTCTTTTGGCTACGCTTCCATTGGACTTGGCCTTGGATTTGCCACTGTTGTTGGTATACCTACCTACCTATCTTTTCCTTTTAATTCTCACCTTGTTTTTTTTTTGTTTCATTTGGCACATACTTTTTGACCTTGTTTCATTCCACATCATATGATCTAAAAAAAATTATAGAAAATTCTCTTTTTTTTTCTTTACTAAAATGTTTACCAAACAAGTTAACAAACAGTTGTGACACGTTTGGTGAGTGAGTACATGGAATATGAATTCTGAGTACATGGAATATGAATTCTCAACTCCCAGCCCTCAATGCTGGCAATCCACCGTCGTCAGCCACTACCTCTTGCCACTAACAATCGTCATTTCGAATCTCTTATATCATTTCTTTTAAATTTTAAAACAAACCGTACGTGAGTATCATATACTCTTCAAAATTCAGCAAAGGGGTTATAAAATACTCTCTTCGTACTAAAATTAACTTTCCATTTGACTTTTCACGGTCTCCAATGCGACACTTTGACCATCAATATCTCAATTTTTATATAAATATATTTTATAAAAATTACATATTTCAAAACTATGTTTCAAAATGAATCTATTGCTGATAAATTTATATGAAACTTCAATGTATTTTTTCCGTAATAAACGGTCAAAGTTTAAAAAGTTTGACTACAAAAGTCAAACTGAGAAGTTAATTTTAGGACGGAAGGAGTACTCTACAATAAGACTTTAGAATAATCTTTAAGTTTTTTTAATTTTATTTAATCTACAGAAAATAGGGCTGTTAAAGGAAGCATAACAGGAATAGCAACAAAGACTACTACTCAAAAGGTTTGGTTAACATTTCAAGCATTGGGAGATATTTCGTTTGCATATCCATATGCTCTTATTGTCCTCGAAATACAGGTATGGTATCAAGTTCACATTTTTATACGGAGTATCCATTTTTAAAGACGAATATGTGATTAAAGCCAATATATTCTACACCATTTACCAAAAATCTGTGATTAAAATTTAATTTATTTTTTCTATCAATCGGCCCGTTCTTAGGGACCCTCGGGATGGAATTCATCCTTTTTTTAATTTCTACTTTTACACATTGTTTGGATGATAAAAAAGGGAAGGAGAGAAAATACAAGGTGAGAAAACACATTGATTGGTTTGGTGAGAAAATGATGCAGGAGAGAAAACTACCTATTAAAAATTTTCACTCCAATATAGGTGAGAAAATTATATCCCTAAATTCCATATCTTCCTTCTCCTACCATAAATTTTTTATCTTTTTACATCATCTTCTTATAATCCAAAGACTAGTTTTAAATTTTTTTCTCTCATTTTTTTCGTACCATTTTCTCACTTCATCCAAACAAAGGGTTAAGGGGATCCATTCAGCTTCAGAGGGCCCATGATCCTCAAAAATGAGTTCAATTCACTGTCCAATTTTAAAAAAGACTAAATCTCTAACACGGTCTTGTTTTTAATATGATATTTCTTTTTAAATTAGTCCTCATAAGCAATAATTACCAACATGATCATCTAAATGTATTCCCTAAATAGTGCTTTAAATGTATTCCCTAAATAGTCCTCTATCAAAAATGTTTGTTAAATGACACTTAAGTGGAGGGTATTCTTATATTTTCTATCATCTAAAGTATGAATAAGTCTTCAAAATGGTTCTTTCAAATAAAGCGGGTAGCTACTAGAGTAACTGACCAACCCTGAGTAGGCTCATGGACTCCATTTCAGAAAAACATTTACTTAATTAGAAATTGTCAGTTTGGAAAAATACTTAATTGTAAATGAGTATTTCGAGAACATACATTAAGTTTAAATGATAGATATACCAAAATATCTCCTATTTGATTGACATTTAATAGACATTTTTGGGAGAGGACTACATTGGTAATTATTGCTTATTAAGGACTAATTTGAGAAAACACTTATTAGAAAGGATCATTTCGGAAATTCACTCTAATTAAAAGTCACTATAATGTTTTCCGTCTCCCTTACAATTGTCATTTTATGAATTAATGAACCTTTACTGTAAATATTTTAAATTTAGTTTACTAAAAAAGTAATATAGAAATGAAACTTCTATACATTCAGGCCATGTTCTTTTGACTTTAGATTTTAGAGTTGGATGTTGGAAGAAATTAGAAGGAACTAGAAAAAACTGAAAGAAGTTAGAAAATGTTGAAAAAATTTAAATATTAAATAGTTACTCAATTAAATGATAATCCAAATAAATATGTAAGAAAAATAGAATTTTGGATATAAAAGAATTCATTATTGCCCGTGTTTAAGGTGGTATATTATAAATTTGGATATACAATGTTGTTGTATATTCATCATATACAAATATCTTTTTTAAGTCATTGTTTGAAGAAACTAGAACGAGTTGGAAAAAGTTGAAAGTTAATTTTTCCAATAAAAATATTGTTCTTAAAACCTATTACATCTATTCGTGAGTATATGTCTAGTTTTAACGTTTTACAATTAAAATTGACTAAATATGATCATTTAACTAAATAAATTTGATAGTGTGTGTGTCTGTATATGTGTGCGTGTGTGTGTGTGTGTAGACACACACACACACCCATATATATATATATATATACATACATACATACATACACATATATATATATATATATATATATATATATTGATACAAAAAAATTATTATTAGAGTTATTTTAAAAAAAATATTTTTAAAATATTATTTTATCTAGCTAATATACCATATAATATTTATTTACTTATAGGACACAAGTTAAAAGTAATTGACTATAAAAAAATCAAAATTGAGCAAATATTTAGAGACAATTGTATTACTAGATACATTCCTAAATGCTTTGCACAATTTAAATATCTCGCATGTACATTTTTAAATAGAGTGCTTTTTTGGTGCACTTTGGGTGCATATCAATTTTATGGACCTTCTCACATAAAAAACCTTTTTTTATTTTTTTTTAAAAATAAATACTTATTTAAGTAGTAAAGAAATCCTTATTTTCCTTATATGTTACTCCATAGTGGAACTTAAGTCCACCATAGAATTTGCCTTCTAAATAAATCTAATTATACTAAGTTTGTAGTATAGTATAACTTAATGTATATTTTGCACTGAAATTGTATTCTTAATTCAAGCTATGGTCAAAATTTGTAATGCTTGACTAGAAAACTCAACCAATGCAACCCATTCAAGAAGTGAGTAAATATATAAAAAGTTAAAAAAAAAAGAATTTGACATTACTATATTATTTTATCAAATTATGAATGAAATAAGCTAAGAAAAATATGAAACTTGTCCCAAATTAAGGTGGACAATAATATTGTTTTGGAGAGGGGCGGGGGGCGGGGGGGGGGGAATAGTCACAAAGTTATAATTCTCTAGTTTTAAATTATTATTTTTTAACTATCAAAATATTTCATTATTAAATATAGACAAATAGGGATAACTTCATATTTAGTTAAACAAGGTTTATTTCGTTTTTAAAAAAATATTGCATTTTCTATAATTTCATTTTCAAGATTTTATTTCTATTCTTATATGAATTGAAAATTTTATTAACAAATTGAAAATATATAATGCAAAGAAACTAATATGCAAAATAAGTATTGTGCAATGTTTAACTGCGCATATACTAGATTTATAAGAAACATGATATATTCTGATACATAAAACTTTCTTTGACCCAAAAAATCTTTCCAATTTGACATTTTAAGTCAACTTTCTACATAATTTGACCATTAATAAATAAAATTTTAAATAAATAAACAAATGCAAGAAAATTTTGATGTATCAAAACTATATCTTAAAATAAATTCAATAATATTAAATTTACATTTTAAATAAATATTTTATTCTTAACGATTCGTAGTCAAAGTTTGTTATATTTGATCAAAAAAATCAAATTGAGAAGATTCTTTTATGAAGCTAGGAGGAAGTATACAAACTTTTCTTAAAGATGTTGTATTGATTTTCATGCTTCAAAACAAAGGATACTTTGAAGTCACCTCCAGCAGAATACCGGACCATGAACAAGGCGTCATTGGTAGCAATAGTAATCACGACTTTCTTCTATGTGTGTTCCGGATGCTTTGGATATGCAGCTTTTGGTAGTGACACACCGGGGAACCTCTTGACCGGGTTTGGTTTCTACGAGCCATATTGGCTTGTTGATGTTGCTAATGCTTGCATTATAGTACACTTAGTTGGAGGCTATCAGGTATATATTCTATTCTAATGTTTGGTAAATTATTCTATATTTTAGAGAGTTAATTAAACACTTGATTGATTATCTTATTCTTGTTTAGATTTTAATAAATATGGGCACTTGATTTGTTGAGACTTTTTCTTAATATAACTAACTCGCACTACTACGTGTATTCTTATTTCATCAGATATACAGCCAACCAATCTACGCATTTGTTGAAAATTGGCTTGCCCAAATTGTGCCTCAAACAAGATTCGTTACAAAATCATATGCTCTAAAACTTCCGTCAATGCCAGCCCTACAATTGAATCTTGTCCGGATATGTGTAAGGATCGCATACGTCGCATCAACAGTGGGCGTTGCAATTTTGTTTCCTTACTTCAATGAAGTCGTTGGAATTTTGGGAGCAGTGACATTTTGGCCATTGGCTATATATTTCCCAGTTGAAATGTATCTTGTGCAAGGGAAAATTAGACCTTGGACAAAAAAGTTGATTTGTCTTGAGACTTTCAGTGTGATTTGTTCATTTGTGTCTATAGTGGGTTTGATCGGTTCAATTGAAGGGATGATAAGCGCGAAACTCCATTGAAATAACCACTGGTGTGCTATATTTGTACAATAGCTGCTAAAGCTTAAAGCACAAATAATATATATGTTCACAAGAAGTTATGCAAGAAACAAGCATTGGGATTATTGTAAATTTGGGCACCACAAACACATTCACTTACACTATTCACAAGTCAAATTATGTTTCTTTCCTCGTAACACCTCGAAAATCGGTCTATCGATTAACTTTTTATTTAAAAAAACTAATTGCAAAATAAGATACACTAGCTGGGTTATATTTATTTTAAATAATTAACTTTTGAAAATTAATGGTTATTTCACATTTTGACTGTGTGACTCCAAGAATCACTGATAAGATTTGGGGTAAACCACTTTTGATCTAAAACAAAAATTTAGTAGGGTGCATTAATTAATTAAAGGAGCACTCATCCCATATTCCTCCAAGTCCTTCTTTTTCTTCTGTCTTTTTTTCATCCCACTCTTTTCTATCTCATTCACTCTCATTCTATCTCACTCAATCATCTCTCTCTCTCTCTCTCACACACACACACACACACAATTCCTAGCAATAGCTTAGAAACACAAATTTAAAGCAGGAGATAAATTCAACCTCTAGAAAAATTCAGTCATTCTTGTCAATATCAATCTACACTCTCTATTAAACATCACTTTCTTTGAGGTAAATATTGATTAATCTTTAACATCATCTTAGATATAATATAATATTTTGATAACATAAACAAATATGTTAGAGATAGAAGAAGGAAACAAGATTGAAGAAGGAAAGTGTGAGAGACAGAATAAAGAAGCGGGATTGAAGAAGGAAACCGAATCCCTTTGGGATTAGGTTTAGTATCTTTCCTAGTTGGATTAAGTTTAGTATTTAGTATCTTTTCTAGTTTGTTTAATTCTTATTTTAGTAGGAATAGAAGTTTCCTTGTTTACTTTACACTCTTCCTATATAAAGAAGTTTGGATCTTTGTATTCAAGACAAGAGTTTTACAAACCAATTCAATATACATAGAATTTCCTCCCAAATAATTCTTTCATGGTATCAGAGCCAGTTTTGAATTCTTGAGACCTCAAACACGCTTCTTCCCCTGCCGGTGGGCATACACAATTCAATGCCTAACGGCGGGATATTGTGATTTTTTTATTTTTTATTTATTGTCCTCCCTCATTCTTGAAAAAGTGGTCGGGCAAGGGTTGTTCTACGGAGACAAACAACTCTTTCCGCGTCTTCTATTCCCGATCGACCGGCATCGCGTCCATTGATCATCGCCTGTTGTTGCTGCTAAAGTGCTGGAACGGTCGACCGTTGCTGAAGAACGGTCGAGTGGGTCGACCGTCCCGACGGCAGTTTCTCTTGATCGCGGTTATTGTTCACGATCGCCCGGCATCGCGTCCATCGGTCGTTGCTCAGTTTCTGTGGTTTGGAGCAGTTCCCAATTTGTACGTGTAGGAATTGCACGTGGGACCTGCTCGAGAAGCTAGCGCAGATGCGCGAACCGAGAGAACGTTTCTTTCAGGTTTGGAGCAGTTCCCAATTTGTACGTGT